CAGAGATCCCACCATCCACCCTTCCTGGGCCATGACATCTGGCCACTGACTGAGATAAGAGGCCAGCCTTGGGACACAGCAGAAAATCAAACTCACGGTAGGGCCCCGCAGGGGTCACTAGCATGAACATTACTTGTATGCCATCCAGAGTCCCCACAGGGTTGGCCAGGCTTCTGGGAACGGTATCAGGTTGAGCTTCGCCTTCTGCTCAATTCTGCCCCTTCCTTCTTTCCTTCATGGACACCAGTTCCTGGTAAACATTTTACAACCAAAATTCCATCCCAAGTTTAATTCCAGAAAACCCAGCTGGTGACGATTGGCTACAGTGTGCTAGCAGGGCAGGGGGAATAAGGAGGGGGATTTCTGTCCCAAAGAGAAAAAGAAGACACGATGTAAGGGAAAATTCGAGATGGCACCAGGTCTACCACCGTGGACAGCCCCGCGTCTGACAGTGACTGGATGGCTCAAGGGTCTAAGGTATTGCAACGACTATGACGGTTGGGCATCTGTTGCTACGTGCCCCACTTGAACTAAAACTCTCACGAGGAAAACGATCATCCATTCTTATTCACACTTAGAAATGACCTGATTTGGTGCTTTCATTTTCATGCATCAAAGGCTGGCTTCTCAGAAAATATAAATACATGCTCGGTATTATGCAAAAATCCAGCCTATTACCGAGATTAGCCAAATAATCTGTTAGCCACAGCCATCTTCCAGGCTGTTTACCATTACATGTATAGACGAAAGTGGCATTTTCTGGAACTCAATGCTTATGTCAATTGCAAGATGGAAGTAAAGACTTGGGTGGACCCACGTGGAGGTCCCAGGTCAAATACAGTTTCTGTCATGCCAGAAGCCTCTGGCAATCATAGGTCATCTTTTTAAACAAAAATCCTTTACAACTGAAATCTGACATCTTCACCACCACCACCCACTTAAAACACCTGACTGGTAACCGATTGCTCAGACAATAAGACCCCCCTCCTCGCCATCCCACTCTGAGGTCCCACCCAGACTGTCTCTAGCCTCATCTCACTCCGTTCTGCTCCTTGCTGATTTTGCTGTCCACATTGCAGCCACATTGGCTACAGAGTCTCGCACATTCTGTTGCTCCTGTCAAAATAACTCTTCAGATTTCAGCCCGAGTATCATTTCTTCAGGGAATTTTTCCCTGACCCTCTCACCCCAACTCTTGAGCAGGTACCTTGATTGCATGAGTTCCCAGAATCATGCCCTTTCCCTTCCCAGCATTTATGGAGTTATAGTAGGCGCTGCCTTGAGTGATCACTTGATCGCTCTCTTTCTTTCCAATTAGACTGGTGGCTTCAGGAGGACAGGAATGGTGTCTGATTTTGCTTCCCCTTCTCATCCTACCTCCGGGCTTAGTTCCTGGCAGATAGGAGGCACGCCATTGCTATGTGTTGCGTGAGTGACTGAAAAAGCAAAAAACATAAAATCGCTGACTTTGGTTGAGTTAAAATGTGGGGACAGGCAGTTCAAGTCCAAAGACGTACAGGGTGGCAACCATCGGAGAGAGACCATCTCTCTAACCACCAGCCAGGAGGGGAGAAGAAGTAGCGAGGAGCCCAGCAAAGCCTTCCTATCAACAGCAGAATGGTCAGCCTCATCACAGGAAACCCAAATGCCCAAGTGCCCGGCCTTAAAATAAAAAGGATTCCTTTCTCAATCAGGAGGCGATCTCCTTCGACCTTAAGAGGCAGAGTTGATTCCTGGGTTGAATTTTATTCTCCAGGGCCCTAAAGTTAACCAGCTAGAATCATTTCTTAAGGAGCTTTCTATTTAACCTTTGGAAATGAAGCATCTGCCTTTTAATGGAAAAAGTACTTCTCCTTATAAAGATAGCACACAGTGTTCTTGGCATCTTCGGTCTCTAGAAAAGGCAATTCAGATGTTTCTCCATGTCCCTACTTTATCTTGAAGCCCCTTTAAAGCAAAGCAGGTCGCCTTGATTGTTACCTTTAAAAAAAATGGGGGGGGGGGGGAGTAGAGAGTGCCTGCCCATACTGGGAAGGACCAGGCAGGGCAGCCTGGGTAGAAATACTTGTGGTCTATCAAGAAAGCTTAGGAAACTTAGCAGGTCAGAGCTCAAGGAAGGGCCCATGGTAACCAACCAACCTGAATAGTGACATAGAGTATCGCTGTATTCAGACAAGAGCCTGAGTCTACCCCACATTCAAAATCCCCGTGCCTCAAAGAATAGCTACAAAGTGTGATTTGCTAATCAACTAATGAATCAACTGTGTCCCTTTGGCACACGTCATTGCCGTGAAAAGTGAAGGTAAGTCCCGGCCTTCTAGAACCTACCTGCAGGACTAAGATGGAAAGTTGACCAACAGCGCAAGGCACCGGGCAGGTTGTCCTCACTCTCCGAAAGTAAAGCTTTCCTATGAAAACCTTTCGTAAGCTGAAACAGCACTTAATCATTCATTCATAGAGGAGAAAGTGTTGAGTGCTCCCAGAAAATGAGCCACCAAATCACACCCAAGAACCCGTCAGCCATAAATAGGGCCAGATAGTGTCTGCAGACACAATTCAAAGCTATGGTGCTTGGTGCTGGGGCAGCACCTTCCCGGGAGCGGGAGCTGGGAGACAGACGCCCCTCGCCCTGCTCAGGGTGCGCGCAGCGCCCTCTAGAAGGGCTTGCTACTAACCGAACACTGGAAACACCAGTTTTACTTCTCACCATTTTTTTTCCCCATCAAAGCAAAAACAGCTCTTCAGATGTCTTTGATGAACAGAAACAGGTACAGGTGCGCATGTAGATCTCCCGTAAAGGTGACGTGGCATGCGAGAGGCTTCAGAAAGTTCACAGGGGAAAAAAAAAAAAGCGAATGAAAAAGAGCGTGGCATTTTCCCGCAGACGTCAAAAAGCCTCTCCATACGGCAAACTTTCGAAAAGCCAAAGGTACCCAGAGAGGGCTCAGCAAGTCGCTGGAACCCCTAACCCATAATCCTGGTGTCCCATCGAGCCCTGCTCGGTGCTGGCTGCTCGCCAGGCATCTTAGGCAAGCTTTACAACCGTGGGAGATGAGATAAAAGGAGGGGCCCCTTAAAAGAAGATGAAGGAGCTCGGGCAGCACTGTTGGGTAAGTGAGTGGTGGGCTGCTACCGGAAAGGCCCACAAGTCAGACCCACCAGCCAGTCCACAGGAGCGAGGTAAGGCAATCTGCCCCAGGAAAGATTTATTCACCTCAGCAAACCCTCTGTAGGGCACTTGATGGAGGTGAGTTTGGGGGTAAAGGAGTTGACTAGCTCATCCAAAAGTCACGTCGTTAAAAGGTGGATTCCAGAGCTTCCAACTCCCGTTCTCAGGACCGGATGCCCGGCTGCGTCCCTGGGACTTGCAAATGTTCCTAGATTCATCCTTCGCACAGTCCACATCCTGATTACCAAAGAATTGGGTCTCCTTTTGAGGGTGTCCCATGGAAAGCTGTGCCCCGTCCATACCATTAAGGTCGACTCTACTTGGTGGCTAGGGGACAAGCACATTGAGACCCCATTGAGGCTCTCTCCCCTGCCTGGAAAAGCCAGCCTCTGGTAAGTAGAATGCATATCTCTGGGGATGATTCCGGAGCTCCTATGGTTAAGTCAAAAGGTGCTTACTACCCTGTCTTCTCCCTGGTCCACACCCCCACCCCCAGCACACACTGTGCTGAAACAGCTCGGCCCCTCTTGTGCTACACGGAGTCTCCTTTCTCTCCTCCAAGGAGGCTCCAGCTGGCTGGAAGGCAGGGAGCCACCGCCTCCTCTGAGATACTGGGCTGTGGAAACAGCAATCTTGGCTTCTGGTTAGTATCTTCCCACACCATCAAGGCTCCCTGCTGGCCCTGGGGAGGCCGAGCCACTCTGGGGGACGCTGAGAAGCCCCAGGAGTGAAGAGGTATACAGAGGAAATAAGACTGAGAAGTGGCCCTGCTATAGCGGGCAGCCTGTGTGCCCCTGAGGTTAAACAGGGCTCTGAGTTGGCTGGAAAGGTCTGTAATGGGCTAACTAGGCACCGTGGTACAGCTGCAAGCCGGGCAGGCTAGGTCCCATCCAGACCCAGCCTGGCCAGGGACCTGAGAGGAGCCTCTGGCTCTCTCAACCTCCCGTCAGGAAGCCCCTCAGGCATCCCTTGGCGCAGGTCTCTCGTTTCACCCATGCAGAAACAGATGGCCGAGTGTCCTGGGTTGTGTCCAAGGACCCCAGCTGAATGGCAGCAGAGCAGAGGCAGAGCCTGGCATCTTGATCCACAGGCTCCAGCTCTGTTCTCATCACTCTGCCCAGGTCCTGGGTATGCACACCACGGAGAGAGTTTGGACATCTTCCTTCACCACGACTTCTGTTGGGGGGTGGGGGTGGGCGGGGTGGCTTTCCTGGTGCTGGTGGTATAGCCTTTTAAACCCTCCAGCGCCGGCTGTCTCCCTGTCCCCAGCCAGCCCCTCTTGGAAAGACGCTTAGGGTCTTCAGAGACCCGTGAGGCCTTAGATCTCTCGGGTGGAACCATGGGCAGGCTGCCTAGGACTGGGCGCAGCGGGTCTGCCAGGCACAGCGGGCACGTGCCTTGGCCTCTGTGCAGTGTGGGGGACGAGGTCGTGGAATCCAGCCACTTCTCTGGCCGTAAGAATTCCTGCTCTCCCCCTCAGTCTCACCCTCGTGCTGCCTGCCTGGGCCTTGGCAGTGGCCATGGGCATAATAGCAGCAGGAAAAGGGAAGGAGAGGCGGGTTTGTGGGTTTGCTCGGCCAAGCACTGCCCGCCCCTCCTCCGCAGGCTGTCTGGACTCGCGCCTCTCCCCTTCTCCGCCCGCCTGTCCCTCTGGGCTGCTTGGGCGCCACCACTACTGTCCCCAACCCGCCCCGCCAGGAGGACCTAAGGACGGCGTGACTCACGCCGCTGCCACCAGCCCACGGTGTGCCCGGGCCATATAAAGGCTGCCAGGGCAAGCGGCGGCCCAGCCCGAGCTTCTCTACCCTGCCGGACCCGAGGCCTGCAGACCATGGCCCAAGGCGCGCAGCAAGGCCGCGGGGGCGCGGGCTGGGGGCTGCGCGGCGCCCTGGCGGCGGTGGCGCTGCTCTCGGCGCTCAATGCCCTGGGGACCGTGTTTGCGCTGTGCCAGTGGCGCGGGCTGAGCGCGGCGCTGCGGGCGCTGGAGGCGCAGCGCGGCCGCGAGCAGCGCGAGGACAGCGCCCTGCGTGCCTTTCTGGCCGAGCTCAGCCGCGCGCCGCGCCGGGTCCCCGAGCCGCCCCAGGACCCCGCGAGCGCGGCGCGCAACAAGCGCAGCCACGGCGGGCAGCCCGCGCCGCACATCCGCGCTGAGAGCCAGGACATGCTGATGATGATGACCTACTCCATGGTGCCGGTAGGCGGGGGCTCGGTTCCCGGTGGCGCCCCCGGAGGCGTGGGGCGAGGGCAGCTGATGTCCACTCCACACCTGGCGAGCCGTCGAGTGTCACCACTGTCACAAAGAAGGCCCTGGGTCAGAGGTGTAGCTAACGGGGCGGAGGGGGTGGGGGGGTGCCCTTGGGTACAAGTCCATGGGGGCACAGAGGGTGTCAGCCAGTAGATCACTAGATCACTCCCTCCACCCTGGCCCATGAGGCTGGCACAAACTTTGAGATTGGCCCTGGGCGCTCCTTTCCCTCGCCCTACTAGCTAGCTCTCCTTGGGGGCCAGTTTGCACATCTATTGGATGGGGATCTAATGGAGTTGGGGGAGTAAGTCTTTTCCACCTCTGACATTATTGAGTGACTGACCTAGCAGGTGGATGAGGCCCATGAGCCGTGTTTTCTGGGGCCTCTCTTCTTCATTTTTTGGCCCAAGTTTTCACCAGCTAATGTTTGTGCCATTTGCCACGGCTTGAGCACCCCCAGAAGACTGCGGCAGTATCTCTGGAAGAGCCCAAGCTGCTTCAGCACTGGGGTGCTGTCCCCTGGGCTGACTTCTTACCTGACCTCAATTTATGGCCTGGAGATTGGCGACCTCAGTGTGTCTGTTAAATGGAACGCTATCAGCCCTCATTTTCCCCCCACACCGGAGGGCCTGGATGCTGAGAAAGTCTATCCTGAGGGGCAGGGGCTGAAATGGTTGCAAATGGGACCAGTGTAGAGCAATCTTCTTAAAATGAAATCCCAGAGCTGGGGTTCTTAATATGGGGCCTGTGGATTGCACCCCATGTGGGATCCAGGGAGTCCACAGAATCCAGCCATGGCAGGAAATTGTACACGTGCACCCGGGGAGCAAGTCCATAGCTTCCGTTAGATTCTCCAGGTGCTCCTTCCCCTTGCTCCCCACCCACCCCCGCACCCCCAAAGTTGAAGAAACAACCATCTAAAGAAAGCTTTTAAAAGCAAAGCCTCAAAAATCCACTCCCCACCCCCAGTCTCAAGTTTTTGTGCTTTGCTGATTTATACTCAGGAACGGCCTAATCCTTAATCATACGGGTTATATTACCATTCCCCATTCCGTTCCATGATCCATGACAATGGCTCTCGTCCTATTGCACTCTATCGTGAGAATATTTCAGTTCTGTCACATGTCACGTGTGAGCCATACTCTGGAACCCTAGATTTTAATCTGAAGATAAAAGCCACTGAAGGCCACGGTGCTTTCAGAGCTACCTGGAAGTACTACACACTTCAAACTGATCTTTCGGGAGAGATCAAGTATTCCATGCCCAAGCTTCCGTTTTCCCCTCATGGACGCGTTCAAAAATCTGAGCCCAAGCAACATTTTCAAAAAGAGCTGCTCCTTCCTTCTGGTTCCTACCCGGCTGCATGCTGAAACACACACTGGGGGCGGGGGGGCTGCATCGGCGCTCCAGCTATATACATCTATATACCCAAACTTACCTAGCACAAGAGAATGGCAGACTCGGTCAGTTCTGTGCCAATCTAGAATGTAGACTTGACTTTCAGGGTGACCTTGCAGTACCACAACTGGGTCTGGTACAAGTCAGAGAGCAGAAACATCCTGTTTGCCAGGCTGTGTGGTTATTGCTATTTATTTTCTTTTTTGAATTGAAGTTTTAGTGATTTCATTAGCAGGCAGATTACCAGAATTAAGAAAAATACTAACCAATCATTTTATCACTATTCACCATCAAAGTCCTTTGGAATTCTGAAGGACAGAGAAAGCAACCAAGGACTACCTTTTCCTCTGGGTCATGTTTTCCTTTGTATGTGTTTTTTAAATACGGGTATATTTATTTCTCTTGTTGAGAAGAGACACAGCAAACCTCAGACCAGCTGGACGCTTCCTACGGGTATAATTCAGTGACTTGGGTCCCAGCCTTGGAGTTGTGCAATCAGGCTCAGCCTCCTTTCCTAAATGTCTCCTCCCCCGTAACGTAAACTTACCACCCGGAAATTTCCCATCGAACCCTTTGAGTTGCTGTTATCAATGTGATCCCAGATAGCCAGGTCTTTAAAAAAATACAGTGCTCAAGGCAGACACCCTTTATCCATTAAGAAGGCTTCAGGGGATGTTTTTGGATTAAAGTTTAAAGGTGACCCCAAAGCAGTAGTTTTTTTGAGGGCTCAATCAGCCTCCAGCGCTCCAGAAATCTGGATGATCGAAGGATTTCGAATTCTTTTCTAGATCCCCACCCCCACCGCCCTGAATCAGGATTCTTCTATGGATTCTTCCATCAAAGGGTAGTCAGGTGTCTACAGTTTCCTGGTTAATGACACGGGGGCAGCTGTTTATTGAGAGTGCTCTGTTGTGGCAGAAGGAAGTCCTATGCAGGCCGGGAAAAGGCAGCCACCATTTTGCTGGCTTTGTTCTTTGGGGTAGTTCTTGGACCTTAGTAGGCTTAAAACTCAGCTGAACTCATCGTTGCGTTAAAACTCAACTTAAAACTTAAAACCCAACTCAATGCTGACTCTTAGCAACCCCCTGAGGGTGTCCGAGATTGTAAGCGTTTACAGGTCACAGCCCAAAGCATAATCACACACACACACACACACACACACACACACACACACACACACACGGGCTCCGTTAGTAGGCTTAGTGGTCACATTAAACATGCAGATTCCAGGGCCTCACCCTCAGAATTAAAAATCGAAATCCATCCGCTTTCATACCCAGTGCCCTGAACCCTGTGTTGTAGCCTCGACCTCAGCCCATGGGTTTGACACGGGTGGTTCAGGGGCCACGTTTCAAGAAAAACCATCCTAGACCAAATCTTCTTAAACTGTGAGCCACAATCTCATGGGAGGTCGTGTAACCGACTGCGGGGAAGGGGGGGCAGGCCTGAAGAATGTGGCAATAGCGAAAGGGTTCTAAATGAGCAGAGACGGAAAGTAAATTCCAAATCAAACACATAAGGAGTCAGAGGTGTTTCCGGCAGTGCTTGCTCATGTAACAAATTTCTGGGGTGAAAGGTGTTGCAAGTGAAAGAGACCTGTGGCCCCTGATTCTGTAAGTGTAATGTGCGCATGTGTGCAATGGCATGGAGACCGTGCCTGACCTCCCACTGACTTCAGACAGACAGGGCCAGGAGACCCAAACCCAACAACAGCTTAATTGGCCGATTGCTCTGAGGCAGAGGTCAGACATACCTCCTCCCTCCATCCTTCTTCATCCTCTTCTGACACCAACCATCCCTCCCGTGGCACGCTACTTCTCTGCTGACCTCCCACTGACTTCAGACAGACAGGGCCAGGAGACCCAAACCCAACAACAGCTTAATTGGCCGATTGCTTCTGAGGCAGAGGTCAGACATACCTCCTCCACCTTCCAACTTTCTTTACCAATTGTGATGCCAAGGCTCTCTCCACTTCTCTGCTGTTTGATCATTTGCTGCCATGACACACAGATATCATAGGCCAGACTCACAACTGTAGGGGCTTATTAGGGAACTAGCAGATTACAATTCAGGGTCAGGAATACTAAGGATACACTTCTTCAGTCAGGACAGCCTGCTTGCAGCCAGGCTGATAGACATGCCCAGGACCTTGACCTTGTGACCTGCTTGGACAAGTGTGACAAAGCTCTTTCAGCTCTCGGCCTCTCCGCCCCATTGGCCTTGTCCTTTGCCCTGCTCGAGCAAATTAAACTCTGCCAGTAAAAGCCCACTCTACCAGTAAGTCTCAGCCCCAAAGCAAACCTAGCTCCCAGTGCCCAGAAGCAACCCACTCTTCCAGCAAGCCTTGTGCCCCAAACCACTCAGATTTCTCCCTCAGTGGGTGGGGAAACCCACTGCTCTGTCTCATGCTCTTGCTCTGCCACCTCCCTGTGGTGTCAGTTGCCATCTCTGAAGTCACCACTCTGTCTCCCAGATTCCATGAGTTTCAGAGCAGGAATCTCGGTGTGTAATGGATGGGATCCACTCCCTGCTCCTGCTTCTGAATGGCAGTGAGATCTGCTCTTTCAGCTTCTGAGGTGGTTCGTCTTAAACCTTGCGGGGTGGCAGAACTCACCAATCTCCACGTTAGCATTCCACACATCCTATTTGCCTGGCCTGCCCATTGTACTTTCTTTACAATATGAGTAAGTCCCTTTAGTGCATGGCGAACACCTCACATTTGAGTAGCTCTGCCCAGTCAGTTGGCAGGAATTACGACTATGACCCAAAGAACCAATGCCAGGTGATCCACTACATCAACACAAAGATCTTTTTAAAATGCAGATTCGGATTCCCAAAGAGGTCTTAAGGAGCTGTGGGGGCATGGTGGGCTAACCAATGGACTGGTGACCACAAGGTCAGCAATCTGAAAGCAGCAGCCACTCTACTTCCAGAAGGATTTACACTCTGTCAACCCCTCTTACTCTGTCCTATAGAACCACTGTGCATGGGCACTGACCCAGTGGCAGTGAGAGAGAGAGAGATGGGGGCTTACAGCCTGACTTTCTAACCAGCTCCTACTGATGACTCTGATACCAGTCCCAGTAGCACGCTTCTCCAGTCATGTTGGAATCACCTTGGGAACTTGGAGAATCCGTTGGATGGGGTGCAGCCTGTACTTGGGGCGTTCACTGACCATCAGGCAGGACCTGGGCATGCTTTCCCCATGGCCGTGCCGTACCAAGCCCTCCTTCTCTCACTCACTCACCCTTGTGGCCTCTGCTTCAAGCAGCCCACCCACTGCTGGCCAGTGACTTCTAACGCACAGGAACTGCTAACCACAAGGTCAGTAGTTCAAATCCAGGACTGCTCCTCTGGAGAAAGTTGAGGCTGTCTGCTCCCACATCCACAGCCCCAGAAACCCTATGAGGGTCACGGTGGGTCGGCATCAACTCAAGAGCAGTGGGCCACAATGGGGACCTAGGGGCCCAACAGGACAGAGTAGAAATCGCTCCTTTGGATTTTCCAGCCTGACCATCTTGACGAGAGACGATACTTTCATCTCCCTTGGA